CGGCCGTGCCCCCGGTGGAGCGCGGCGGGTCACGGAAGGCCCCGCTTCTCCTCCCGCACCGCCTGCCTGGCGCCGGCGCTGGGAGCGCTGGGGCAGACTGGGCGGCAAGGGCAGCCGTCCGCGCTCGGGATCCCCAAAACCGAGGAGGGTTTGGGGCATCGTACCGGTACTGGGACGGGGGGTGTGGGGTGGGCTCCCATCTCCCGCCCCCGGGAGGCGCGGCTGGTGGCCACCTGCGCCTCATCTTCTTCCCTGGCCAGCGCCGGGTCCTCAGCCCTTGGCATAAGGCACCCACTCGGCAAATGGGGATTAAACTAGAGGATAATTGGGAGGATGTTTTTTATTAATATTATTTTTAAATTTTTTTTTTTAAATGCTATGGGGCTGTAGCAGGTTTAGGAGTCGGGGGGGGCGGGGGGGTTCTTCCCTGACTTTGCCTGAAGGGTGAGGTGGAAGTACCCAGGAAGATCGCGCGTGGGGAACAGCAGTGTTATTTTAACCTTTGGAACTGCCGCCCGGGTGCCGGCGGTGTTTGTGTACCCACCGGGCTGAAACCCATGGCGGTGTGATTTATTTCCTTGTGCTTGCTCTTTTTATCACCTACCTCCATTTTATTGAGGCTTTTTTTTTGTGTGTGTGTGTGTGTGGTTTTTTTGTTGTTTTTTTGGTTTTTTTCCCCCCTTCCTGCTCGATGCCCTTGGAGGTTGCTGCTTGCAAAGCTGGTTCCTGCAAAGCCTGATGGAGGGGCAGATAGCGGGCCGCTTCGGGGTGCGTGGCGTGCCGGTCTGACCTGAGACATCCCAGCCTGAGCCTGGGCACCGGGGAAGGGAGAGCGTGGGTCGTGCGCTGGAGATAAAGGCTGCTGGAAAAGCCGCCGCGGCAGGTTGGGGATGAGCTGAGCCCTTGGGAAAGCATGAAGTTCTGGTGGGGCAAGTGGGGAGAAGAGGTGGTCGCCTCCGTGACGGTTTGGGGAGGTCACCCCTGGCCTGTTCTCACGGGGGTCTCGGGATGGAAGTGGCCTGTATCAGTCCTAGGGAAAAGCAAGAAGCTTAAAGTCAAAGTGCTTCGTCTTCCCCTGTGCAAATTTAGGAGGTTAATTTGTTTGTCATCTCAAAACTACTCGCGCAGGGCAAAGCTTCCTTGCAAGGAGACTCTGGCCTAGAGAGTGGTGGAGAGGAAGGGCCAGGGCAGTGAGAAATACCTGTGTGGGTTTGAATTAAAGCCTGAGGGCAGTGGTGTTGGCTGAGGAAGGGATGTGAGGGAGGCTGTGTGCTCCTGGCGTTGGTGGGCACCCCTGCGTCCATCTGGTGGAGACGGTCAGCTGGCTCAAACCTGGGTGCCGGTGCTGCAAGAGGAACCTGGAGCTCTGTCCCTCACAGCATGACCCATGGATCTGGAATCCTGTAGATTGGTGTCCCCTTTCCCAAATGACCTGTGATGAGCAGCAGACCTGCTGTTGGGGGCACCCATTCCAGGGGTGCTCTCAAAATCTGGCATGGCTTGGTGCATCAAGTACAAAGTCACCTGGTGCAGGTGCTTGTACCTCCTGTACAAGGTACCCAGCCTGTACGAGACGGCTGGGAGCACCTCAGGGTTGCAGCACGTCTTTGGCTGAGGAGGACTATGACCTACAGAGGAGCCAGCACATCTTGAGCTGAGGTGGTGTTGTGTGGAGTTAAACATCTGGCTGATGGGTGTCCTCTCCTGCAGCACTAGCCCCTGCTGTAGTTGGTGTGGCTGGAGGTGTTGACAGTCCTGGGGTGGGATCTTTGTTCTTCAGAGCTGGTCGGGGTAAGCCCTTCATGGGGAGACCCTCAGCAGCGGGTGCTGGGGCTGGTGGTGCAGGCAGGTTCCTGCAGAGGTGGCTGGTGTGCCTTGGGAGAGGGTCACGGCACGGATCCAGAATGGCTGGGTGGTGTCTGGACAGGTTTTAATTCTGCTGCCAGCTGTAAGGGAAAGAAATGCCCTCTGGCCCTGGCAGGGCTCTTGGTGCTGCAGAAGACAGAGACTTTGTCCTGCTTATTCTGCAAGCCTGGGAGAGCTGTTAGTAGCCAGCAACCAGGCATTGGTCCACCTTTTCTTCTTGGCCTGCGTGATTTTGGGAGAATCAGACAGGGGAAGAGGTTGCTATTGAGATGGCAAAGGAGCTCAGGCAGTGGCCAGCTGTAAATCCCAAAACTCCCCTACTCCTAGAAAGCAGGGCGGTGCTGTAGCCGCTCTACCTGGGCACCTTATTTTCCTGTCGCCAGAAACCTGCTGGGGAAGCAGCTGGGTTGGTTTCCTGACGGTGGGTTGGGGGGGGGGGTGAAAAGTAAAAAAATAAATAAATTATTTCCTTGAGAGAGAGAGGACGCTGCCAAAAACCTCGCCTCTGCAGTGTAAAAGCCGGGGCTGCCTCAGCTGGGAGAAGAGCAGTTGCAGCAGATGTAGCTGGGAGATAGCGGCAGGGCCTTGATTCGGGGCGGTCATGCAGGACAGGCTGGTTCTCGTGGTGCCCTGGAACCTCTGCAGGCGAAATGCCCTTAAAACAGTCCAAGGCGAAGGTGAGTACGCGGGAATGGGGAGCAGGCTGTGAGTTCCGTCCCGTGGGACTGCAGCCTGGAAAATGTCACCCTCAGAGGGATCTTGGTGACCTTAGATGTTGGTGAATAAAGGTCCAGTCAAAAGGGCAAGTGTGAGTTGTTTTTGGTGGAGAGGAGTGTGTTGGAGCAGGGGGTGTTGTGGAAGAGACACTCCCCCTTGCTGCCCCCATGAAGCTGGGGGTGCACGTCCTGTGGGATTAGTGTTCATCTATTGTCCACCCCCTGGGCTCTCCGTCCCTTGAGCTGCTGGAGCAGGACAGGCAGTGAGCTCCCGGTTAGGGTGGTCTTCTCCTCTCAGCAGTATGGCCTCGGTGCCTGCAGGTGGCTCGGGGATGTTGCCCACCGTGGGGGCTGCTTGTGTTGCCCCACCACCACCCTCCTGGCACCCAGCGCCGCGGAGCCACCGGTTGGGTATTGCCTGTCTGTTCACTTGCAGGGGGGAAGTTCAGCAGCCTCTTCTGGTCTCGTAGCTGGTTTCCATAGGCTAATTGTCGCCGTGTGGAAGATTTAACTTGGGGCGGTTCATTAGCCAAAGCCCGTCCTTTACGGGCGCCGACTGGGAGCCCAGCCCTGCTCCTCTTGCCCGGAGTGGTGCCGGCACACCCAGCTGCAGGTGTGCCCCTGTTTGGGTGTCTCGATTCCCAGGCCTTTGGGTGAGAAATTTATCTGATGGGCTGTGCCTGACTGCACCAGGATCCTGCCAGCTGTAGACAGCAAGCATCACCTCCCTCCGGGGTAAGGCTGGCCCGTGCCACCTGTCCCCCCACCCTGTCCTCCCCCCGGGGACATGGCAGTGGGATGTGGCAGGGCTGTGTGTGACGATGTGGAGGTGGAAGAGGCACTGGTGAGGCCTCACCTCAAGTACTGTGTCCAGTTTTGGCCCCCCTACCATAAAAAAGGCATTGAGGTGCTGGAGCGGGTCCAGAGAAGGGCGACAAAGATGGGGAGGGGTCTGGAGAATAAGTCTTATGAGGAGAGGCTGAGGGAGCTGGGGCTATTCAGCCTGGAGAAGAGGAGGCTGAGGGGAGACCTTATTGCTCTCTACAACTCCCTGAAAGGAGGGTGTAGAGAGATGGGGATCGGTCTCTTTTCTCAAGTCACAGGCGACAGGACAAGAGGAAATGGCCTCAAGTTGCGCCAGGGGAGGTTCAGGCTGGATATTAGGAAAGATTTTATCACTGAAAGGGTTATCAGCCATTGGAATGGGCTGTCCAGGGAGGGGGTTGAGGCACCATCCCTGGAGGTGTTCAAAAGACTGGTCGATGAAGTGCTGGGAGGTATGGTTTAGTGATGATGCTCCTTGTTTGTTGTGTGAGTGTCTATTTTTGTCAGTTAGGTTGACGGTTGGACAAGATGATCTTTAAGGTCCCTTCCAACCTAGAAGATTCTGTGATTCTGTAAGAGCAAGGCCCAAGTCCCTGGAGCAGCGTATGGCTTCTCTGGGCTTGTGCCTCACCTCCCAGACTTTCCTTAGCTGGACGTACCCTACCAGGCGTGGATGTGGTGGTGGCAGTGGTGGTCCTTGTGTGCGTTCACACTTCTCCATGGGCATTTGGAAAAGCCTCGTGCCCCTGCATGAGCAGGGAGCCCTGCTCTCGAGTATTAGAGCTCTTCGTTTCACCCTGAGCTGCATGAGCTCTGCCTGCTCGTGTCTGTTGACCGATACGTGCTGCAGGTGGATGCTGGGGGCTACCACCCCTTGTGGCCTGGAACACAAGTTTCCATGGTACATCTCTACAAGAGGGGAGGTTGCAACATGTACTGGTCGTGTCCTGGGCAGTGACGGTGATGCCTGGTCCTGTCTTTCATACCTCTCTTTCCTTTGCAGATACTTCAGGTGGTGGTACAAGAAGACCCGCATAGAGAAGAAGCCTGCCTTCATTGACCTCTTGTGTGCCGTTCCTCTGCAGCAGATCTATGGTCAGCCTCCAGTTTGGGTGCTGGGGTGGTGCAATGCCCAGTGTGCTGGTTGGGCAGAGATTCACGTGGGGCTGCCAACGTGCTACCGGGTGGGAGTGGGTCAAGGATCTTTTGGGGGTGTGAGCAGAGCCGAGTTGCATGGGGGAGGTCTGATCCCACCCTGGGCAGGAACAGGGGTGCTAATTTCTGGTCTCCTTGCCAGGGTGTCCGCTGGGCGGGATCGGGGGAGGCACCATCACCCGTGGCTGGCGGGGTGAATTCTGCCGCTGGCAGCTGAACCCTGGCATTTATCACTACGAAACGGTCATCGCCAACCAGGTAGGTGCAGCGGGGTCTGCGAGGGGTGTGAGTAGCACCACAGCAGCCGGGGTGGCTGGGACATCTGCTCTTGGGCTCATCTCACCCCCTCTCTGTGCTCCTCTCTTCCACAG